GCGCCGGGCGGGGGGACAGCGCCGGACAGCGCGGACGCGGGCGCGCGGGCCGGGCGAGCGTGACGGCGCCGTGGGAGCCCGCGGGGGCGGGCCCGGGAGAGCGGAAGGTCGGGAGGGTCGTGTGAAGGTGCAAAGGTGTGCTTGCGTGTGCGCGCAGGCGCAGCCCGGGCGGCTGGGGCTCCCCCGAGGATGCTGCGCGGGAGACGCGCGGAAGATGCGCAGGAGATGCGCCCGAGTGTGCGCGGAAGAGGCGCGAGAAATGCGTGGGAGAGGCGCAGGAGATGCACATGGGAAGGCCTGGAAGACTCACGGGAGACGCGTGGAGGAAGCACGGGAGACCCGCAGGGGGTGCGTGGGAGATGCTCGGGGGACGCGCGGGAGGGCGGCGCTCGGCAGCGCAGGGTCAGGGTGCTGGCGTTGCAGCGAGTGTGGGCTGTGGGGGAGAGGAGTGACTGTGGGCCGGGAAGGGCCGGAGGCTGGGCGGCCGTGCCCAGGTCACCCCCCGCCCCATGATACCTCAAGTTTCAGCCTGTCTCCCCGGGAGGGGCCCCGCGAGCTAAGCAGCCTGGAAGGAAGTGTAATCCGAGGCCCTGTGGAAGGAGCGGCTGCCAGGAGGGGCACCGGCCCTTCCCTCCCTGTGCCCAGCCTGTCTGTGCCGCTCAGGTTCCCCTCCTGGGGCCTGACTCAGCCCTCCAGACTCTGGTCCGTTCTCTCTCTTGGGTACCGGTTCTGCCTGTGTGGACACCTGAAGGCCTGGAGCAGGCTTAGGTCACAGAGGAGTGAGCGATGCCTGCGCCTCTCACAGGACTCCTCACAGCAGATGAACCGAGCCGCATGCGCCAATTCGGAAAAGCTCTGCTTTTTCTTTTTTATCCCCTCCGTCACTGCTAAACGGTTGTATATCCAGGTCAAGCAAGGGTCGTCATCACACAGTGCATGTCCTGTCCAGTGCCTAGCTCCCAGCATCCTCTCTGTCCTCAGCCCCAAAGCTCTCAGCATCCCGTGACCCCAGGACCATGACCCCAGCATCATGTCCTCAGGACCATGGCTCCAGCATCCTCTCTGTCCTCAGTCCCAAAGCTCTCAGCATCCCCTGTGACCCCAGGACCATGGCTCCCAGCATAATGTCCTCAGGACCATGGCTCCAGCATCCTCTCTGTCCTCAGTCCCAAAGCTCTCAGCATCCTCTCTGTTCTCAGTCCCAAAGCTCTCAGCATCCCCTGTGACCCCAGGACCATGGCTCCCAGCATCATGTCCTCAGGACCATGACCCCAGCATAATGTCCTCAGGGTCATGGCTCCAGCATCCTCTCTGTCCTCAGGACCGTGACCCCAGCATCATGTCCTCAGGACCATGGCTCCAGTATCCTCTCTGTCCTCAGGACCGTGACCCCAGTATCCTCTCTGTCCTCAGGCCCATGGCTCCCAGCATCCCCTCTGTCTTCCCAACCCTCAGTTCTCTCCTGTGGCTCACAGTGTCATTTCTCCACAGTTCTCAGCTTCCACTCTCACTGGGATGAGGTGAGGCCGCCCTGTCTGTGGCTGGGTGAGGACAGCAGGAACTATGGGACTGTTTCAGGGTTACTTGCTCAGAGTTGCTGGCCTGTTTTCTGTTGCCAGCACCACGATGACAGCATTGGGAAGAGGTTTGCTCTTGGCACCCGCTCTTGGGGCTGCATCTGCTGCTGGCCATCCTGCTCAGAGACCTCAGGGTGTCACATGGCAGGAGACAGTCACACACGTGTGCCCTGGTCACCCTCACCCAGCTGCCAGTGACAGGCATGAGGCCTCGCCCTGGTGACCTCACCCATGCTCAGCAGCCCGAGGCCCCGCCCTGAGTGGGGTTGGATTAAGTTTCCACCCTTTTAGTGGCTTTCCGGGGATTAACGTTGCTTGTGTGTGTGTGTGTGTGTGTGTGTGTGTGTGTGTGTATGCGTGTGTATGCGCGCGTGCGCCCTCCCTCCCATGTATACAGGTGCACACACACGTGGCTGCTGGTGGGTAACCCTAGCTGCCAGTCCTCCTCTACACGGCTCTGGCAGGCCGCCCTCTCCCCCACTCCCTCGCCCTTGCTAAACCCTCAGATTATTGTCCTAGGGCTGCCCCCCCGCCTGTTCCCTTCTCATCCACTCCCTCCCTGAGTGTGACCACCGAGGGCCAGCCGTCACAGCACCCGAAGGCCCTCTGGCTCACCTGGTTAACACGCCCATTAGAGCCAAATACCTCTCCCTAACCCGGGGTTTCCCTTTTCCCCTCTTCCTCTCTCTTCCCTTCCTCCCCCTTCCTCTTCTCCCTCTCCTCCCCCACCCCTTTCCCCTCCTTCTTCTTCTCCCTCTCCTCCTCCCTCTCCTCCCCCTCCCCTTTCCCCTCCTCTCCTTTCTCTCTTCCTCTCTCTCCCCTCCTCCCTCAGCCTTGGCCTCCTTTCTTTGTCCGTCCTTCCTCTGTCCCTCTGGGGCAAACACATCTCGGTGCTGAGCGCCTGGTGCTGGGGTCCACTTCTGCCCCTCTGACATCAGACAGACCAGACTGCCCCGTCAACAGGCCAGGCTGGGACACGTGCCACCATGTCTGGCTGTCTGGGACTGGAACCCAGGTCCTCCTGCTTGCACGCTGAGCACCTCAGTGACTGCGCTATCTCCCCGGCTCAGGATGGACATTGCACACAGAACTCGCTGGCACACATCCCCACCAGCTCAGGCCACCGCAAGAGTGTAGCAATTACTCGAGTGGACTCCTGCGGGCGCGGCCGGCTTCCCATCGCTAGTGTCTCGCTGATGCCTCTTTGCCCCGCCTCGGCACGCCGGGTCTCAGCCCGCGTCCTCCACGGAGGGCGGCTCACGGGAGAGCCCTGGGCGCCCGGCACTGGGTTCCCTTGGAGCTGGACTGGCAGGCGTTTGCCCCACGCCTGGCGTGTAGTAGATGCCAGATGCCAACGCTTAGCAGCAGGACGGTTCTCAGGGGCGCCCGTTCCTCTCCAGCCGGTGGAAGGATTTGGGAAGGATGGGGAGGCGTGGCCCTCGTGGAGGAGGTGTGTCACTGGGGTCCTCCTGGCTCCTCCCTCCATCACGGCCTCCACCTCAAGCCCCATCGTTACCTTGGTCAGTGTTTTGTCCCATAAGTGACACAGTGGGCCAGGGGCAGTGATTGCGTCAGAGAGGACCGTGGGCCCCACTCCGTGGAGAGCGGGCTCGGCCTTCTCACACTCGGGTGGATCCCGAGCGGACTGTGGGGTCGCGCGGGTTTGGCACCTCAGTTCCCCGTCCGCACACTCACACCCTCTTCTGAGAGAACAGGGACCTCGCTCTAGTCCTCCCCTTCAAAAGCCAGATGACACCGTGTGACACAGTTCCAGCGAACGGCGCACAGGCTGCTTGTGCGCACGGTTTTTCTCCCCGCGTGGGTGTACCCGTGGGAAGACAGGGAGAAGAGGGAGGAGGAGGGAACAGAAAAGACGAGGCACAGTCGCCTGTAATCCCAGTGCTCAGGAGGCCGGAGGAGCTCTGAGTTTGAGGCTAGCCTGGTCTACAGTGAGTCCAGGACAGCCAGGGCTGAGGAGAGACCCTGCTTTAAAACAAAAGTCAAACAAAGTAACAGCCCTTTCTTTCCTTTCGCCAAAGTCAGGTGTGACAAGGGGGCGCCGGCCTGGTTCACTGGTACAAAAATCTTCCATTTATTTATTTACACTTAAAATAAATAACGTGACGAACACAACAGCAGCAGCGTTAACTCAGCCAGGACGACGCTGCCCGCAGCCACGTCCCTTCTGGTTCTCGGTGCAGGACGCCGCCGGGGCACGCTCAGGCCCACGAGGACGCAGGGGACGGAGGGAGGGCCAGGAGGGCGCCGCCGGGGCACGCTCAGGCCCACGAGGACGCAGGCCCGGCTCCGGCGCCGAGGGCGAGGGCAGCCAGCAGGCAGGCGCCGAGGCCCAGGCGCGCCGGGCCGGCCCCGCCGCCCGAGGGCCGGTTGCAGCCGCTGCCCTGGCAGCAGGCCACGCGCAGCCGGCTCAGGAGGAAGGCGTCCGCCGCGTGGGAGCCCTGGCACCAGGACGCCGTGGCGCAGCCCCGCACGGTGTGGCTCCGGTTTCCCTGCGCTGCGAACGGACCGCGGGGCCGGCGTGAGGATGGGGGCACCGCACACCCACAGCGGGGGTGTTGACGAGGGCGCCGCCCCGCCCCTGCGCGCCTTCAGCCAACACAGCCGTCAGGAAGGCCCCGGGCAGCCCCCGCGCCCCGATGCCCCTCCATACCCCGGCCTCACCGTCCACGCCCGAGGCCTCCAGGCACTGGGTCATGGGTCCACGGCAGTCGATGAGGGCCGCGTCGGAGGAGGAGCACTCGTGGCCGTCACAGCCGTAGCACCGGACGCCATTGGGTGGCAGGTCCTGAAGACCCAGAGCTTCACACGGGGGACACGGGCGGGCTCAGCGCTTCGTCCACGGAGCCACCACCCCACGCCGTCCACGTCA